ATACACCAGCTTATCAAATTGTGCTTACTGTGGTGCGCTCGGTTTTACCTTGACTAGTCTTTGAATTCTGGGGTGAAACAGACCAGTCAAGAAACCTGTTCCATAAGGAGAGCCACTAATGCTAAAGAGATGAGGGATGAAGTTTCCAGAGACCTTCATTACCTCCCAAAGAGGGTGCCCCGCCATTTGTCAATCCCCATGCTGTGTTGTTACGATTGGAGAGTGAATATGAGAACGATGCAGGTCGTGCCAGCTCGATCATGACGAACACAATGGTGCCGACATCACAGCTCTACTGCCATTTTTGACGAAGTTAATCAACAAGGACCGGAATCCTACCCTGGGGCATTTCACCTGCAGAGGCCGCCGGACCTGAGACCCTTTCACTCAATTCTTTTTCAACGGTGCATGCGGCATGCGCTCGTTTTTCCCGCGAAGCTCTTGGTAAGTAAAATCCATCAGAAAGTGTGATCAAATAACGGCTGGTGACCTTCCATGACCTTGCATGACCTTTTGAGTGACCGCCAATGACATGACCACTGACGGCTAGCCATTAGCTGCACCCTGCCCGTTGCATATGGATCAGGTGGTGATGTCATGATTCTGAAATTATATTGCAGTTTTGGCGCACTTGTCAGAGCAGAAGACATTCCCACTTTTCCTCCATGACTATATGATGGTGAAGCCATGAAGCTGACCAGACGTAAGATCGAAAATTTGAAAGTACGAAACGTAACCCGCGAGTTGCTGGGGGGGGGGGCGTTAAACGCCCCCACTTTTTTCGCCGGGCCATAGCATAAAAACGGCGCGCCGCAGGCGCGCCAAACTTTGGGTACCTGTAGGGAATTGATTGAAGTTTATTGTGACAAAGTTTTAAAAAAATCGGTCGAAATTTTTTTGAGATATCGAGGTTTTAGTGACGTCATGATTTCTGAGTTTTCGACCAAAAACGGCATATGTTCAAAAAATAATATAAAATCACACAATAGACATACAGACATGCCGTAAACGCCATTAGACTGCCAATACCATGAACAATCAAATGGCTATCTTCGATTATTGATTATCGTTCCGCATTTTCCAAAATCTTGAACTGAATCTTGGCAATTTCTCGTGACTACTTCACGACCATGATACATGCATTTCTTAAATTGAAGTTTTTGAGCCAAATACGTACACATATGATAAAATGAATGTTACCATCGTGTTCTACGCCCCGAAGTACCCATAAAACATGTGTCACAGGCTGCGAATATCAGTTTTGATTTTCGGGGATATGTGCCTACCCGGTTGACCTGACCTTGACCCTGACCTATGCTTGATTGACCCCTACATGGAGCTGACACTCTTGTAGGCCTTATATGATGAATCGTGCACCGTTTTGACAGAGTTTATGACGAGAGGCGCCCATTGCGAAGTCCTGAAATCCATGCTATTGAATGCCCGATTTCAGGTGTTTGACCTGACCTTGACCCGACCTGTGACCTCAAAATTCAACTTTAAAGTACTCATCTGAAGCGTCTCGTCGCGCTCTTTCGTTTGCCGCCTCGTGCGTTTCGCTGCGCCTATTGGTTCTCGAGTTATCGGCTGGGGGCGTTTAACGCCCCCCCCCCCCCAGCAAACGGTGGGTGGCGAAATACCCCAGCAACTGCCGGGGTAAGAATAGTTGGCACTGCTACTCGACACTGACCGGCCGGTCGCGAACTTCCCGCCTCCGGATTTCCAGCCGGACACCCAATCCACTCGGCCACGCGGCCAGTATCCCTAAGCAATTCGCAGCTTGTAGGAAACCAGCTTTGAGTTGGCAAGACTGCAAATTTTGATTTAGAGGCAAGGATGCTTGAAAAGGTGATCGATCTTAGGTGTCCTAGGATAAGTTTGGAAACGGGATGCACCATTCGATGTGTTTTGGGCTTTGCCAAGTTTCGCGGCGTTACGTGCCTCGTTTTTTTTTTTCTTTTTTTGCATACACGATCAGTATCTACTTTTGGGATTTTCGGACAGCTACAGTCCCCGTCCCCCCCTATCGAAAACCCGTGGCGCCGCCCCTGGCGGCTACAAGAAACTTTGCTGTGATTTGCGAGGCTGGTCAGCCACTCGCAGGCACATAGACTGCTACACTGAGGAAGTGGGAAATGGGGTTAATTTGGAATGCCAAAAAAGGATCGCTAATGAGGATTCCTTGGTAATTCTCTCTCTCTCTCTCTCTCTCTCTCTCTCTCTCTCTCTCTCTCTCTCTCTCTCTCTCTCTCTCTCTCTCTCTCTCTCTCTCTCTCTCTCTCTCTCTCTCTCTCTCTCTCTCTCTCTCTCTCTCTCTCTCTCTCTCTCTCTCTCTCTCTCTCTCTCTCTCTCTCTCTCTCTCTCTCTCTCTCTCTCTCTTTCTCTCTCCCTCTCTCTCTCTCTCTCCCTGATCAAGGGGTAACAGAACAAAAAAAGTCCGCTAATGGTGCAAACTTCCATTAGCTGCACAGCGAGGCGCCTCCCACTGGATATAGTCATTCACGCTTGCATTTGCATAATCATGCACGCTCTCCTTTCACACAAATTAAAACACCGGGTCGCTAGTCTGGTCTCTCCGTTTACGTAAAATCCCCAGTGGTGTACAGTAGCCGTTCATAAGCATGCGTCAAAAAATGTGTCCTTCGCCATGATACACGATCTCTGAACAAACTTTTTGTTCAAATTCGCATTCGTTGCTTGGTAAAATGTGCTTTTCCCCATTGCAATAACCCCACAAATGCTCCCCAAAATGCTCGTAACTTCCAACCGGCCTTAATCATCTTGCGGTAGTCATCTTAGACAATACCGACCCAGTGACAATAACATACACATTACGCGTCATACCTTGTCTGATCTTGGCCCTCCCCTCTTTCTAATATCTAAGGCGGCGGAAGCCTAAAATCCTAACATTAAGCGCCGCGGTCACATGCCGGAGCAGTATCGGCATGTGGTGGGCCTGACCTAACCTGCACGCCGCCGGTGGTGCGGCCGTGCCCTGCCTATTATGCCCCGGGTCACAGATAATAACTTTAACCCTCTAGTGCCCCCGGTATCATATCTGTAAGTCAATTTGCAGAAAATTCGCCTGCTAATCATAGAGGTGAAAATTGTTGAAAACCCTGCTGTATCAGAAGTGGTACGTCTTGGCAACCACCTGGTGGCAAAATTTTTAAGTAATGATTTCTCAGTTTCCCACCAGGTGATTTTGAAGAGGGTCAGTTTGTCCTTTGCCGAAAATCAATTTGAGATGCAAGTGTAAATTTAAGCATTTAGAAAACAAAAAATTAGTTATTTGGAAAGAAACTTGGCATACTGTGAGACAAATGTTCAACATATATCATAGTATGTTGCAAAACATCGCAACTTTTTCAGGGTCAAAGATATGGACCCCTATTTTTGGGGATACTAGATATGATACAGTGGGCATAGCACTCCAATATTTTCTATGAAATTTTCGCCGCTGCAACATACGGTGTGCCAATACCATAGTTTTCTCAGGTGATAAGCATTGCAATGGCCTGTGCGTCATTGCAAACGACGATGATACAAGATGCATAAATTTGTGAAGTTCGCACCTCTTGCGCCAGATAACTCTATTTCGCTCCAGACTTAAAATGTCATAACGATATTGGTACGCTTATGCCGCCTCTCATCCTTGTCAATCTTCCAACATCTAGCTTTCTATATGAGTGGCCTTACATGCCTCATACATCTCGACTTTTCTAACGCTCATAGGAATATGGTTTTGCAACTGTTCGACGATGACAAGACAGACTCCGGACCGAAGGGCGTGGTTCCTTTGATTTCCTATCTAAGAAGTAGGCAACCATGCACTGCTGCCAAGTTCCAGCAGGTGCCTGACACCTGGTAAGCATTTTCACTGCCAGGTATGTCATTTGTTGTCATATATTGACATATACCGCCAACTGTGGTAGCTGAGTGCCACTGAACAAAAAGGATTTATAGGTACTAAATTAACATGGATACTACTTTTGTACTGACCATAAGAATAAAAGTTGCGGCATTGCGTAATAATGCGTATGCTCACCTCCATATGAGGTCAATGAATATTGTGCAAGTTCCTGCCGATCGGTGCACAGTTACCTGTACCTGTGTTGTCTGACACGTACAACGGTTATTGCACTGGTCAGTGCGCGGCTGTTATACTGACGCCGATGACATCAGGACCGCACGACCAGTCAAAGTACTAACTGACGATTCACAGGCTGAGAGTTTCAGTCACCCGAGATTGTCCGGCTATCATGAAGATAAACCAACATCGTCTTTGGCATTGATCCCGGTCCGTCGGCAGACTGTCCAGCATTTTGCATCAGAACTGCTTCACTTCAACCAATTACCGCGAGCCAACTGTAAGGTCTTCATTTCTATATCAAGTGTGCATAACGCATCTACGTTTGAGAAGCACGGCCCACATGTCTGAATTATGAAAAAATTGCACAAGTGCAACGCGCTGTATCGTGGAAATTGAAGGAATAGAAGGCACTCGTAAATAGATGCCTATGATTAGCGTTGTTCCCTAAGCACCGACTGAAAGGACATTTTGATACAAGAAGGATGCCAATGAAATATTAAGAAAATGTTCTGATAAAAAGTGCATAGTAAAGGATGTCTTGTTGGCATTTTACACATTTTAACTGCCACTTTTATCACTGAAATTTTTAATGATATATATTTTCTCATCTATGTCTTCACTTCCTTCTGTGTGGTCTGATACCACTAAAAATTACCAAGTGGAATGCCCAATGTATCATATTTGATACAAAATTTATTTCCGAAATTTGAACTGCGAAAAAATATTGGACTCCAGATTTCGAACAAGGGACCCAAAATGAATCATATGTTACAAGGTGCTAATTTTAGGAACCGTGGAACTATGTGTGGGCATTAGAGGGTTAAGGTAACTTTAACTGTAACAGCTAACTTTGTGCGGCGAAGTGAGATTATAATTGGCACGCGCGGCGTGTATGCTGGGCCGGCAGGGCGCATTGCGGACCAGGACGTCGGAGCTGCGTGCAGAGCTGGCCAGGCTGCGCGCTCAGGCGGACGCCTTGAACCAGGAGCAGGCCACCTACACCACCTACGACAGCCGAGTCAAACAGATGGCCGGCGAGCTGCTCGGTAAGGCACAGCTCGCGCGCGCGGCCGGCCACCGCACGGCGCACCACCGGCTGCACCGCGGCGCTCTGCCCGCGCGCACTTACTACCGCTACAGCGCGGCGCCTAACACGTGTCAGCATCACACATTGGCATGGATCCGAGAAAATGGGTATGGGATCTGATCCCGCGGGCCCTGATCTCGGATGAAATGGGAGCTGTATGTACGTACTTGTAGTATGCTGTCCGACGAACTGCAGGGTCGTATCTGGCACTTATGCCTTTTATCGGCGTGCGTGAAGTTTGCGTGTGTTTTATTCCTCACCATTGCATGTCTGAACTGTTTTGACTTCGATTCAAGAATAGCCCTTTGACCTCAGTCTTGTAATGGGATGAGTTTACGCCGTTAATATAACTATATACAATACACATTACACATCCATATATAAGTTATCGGATCCACTTGTTGAATGGTGACGATTGCGTCTACTGGTCGGACAGATCATCAGGCCGAGCTGGCCGACTATAACGTGCTGGTCGAGCTGATGAACATGGACTCGGAGCGAGCGCTGGTCGACAGCGAGCTCGACCAGCTCCGGCACGCCAACGGCAACGAGGCGCTCCTCGTCGAAAAACTCTTCCTTAACAGGAAAGAGAAGGAAAATGAGGTGCAAGAGATAGAAAACCAGATAGAACAGGTAAGTTTTAATTCTGAAAGTCCGTGGAGAAACAATGAGCAGGGCGGAGCCGCCGGAGCCGGCACATTTTTGCCCGAAGCCGGAGCCGGAGACGGAGCCGCCATGACATTTCACCCGGAGCCAGAGCCGGAGCCGGAGCCGATTTTATTTATCCGAAGCCGGAGCCGGAGCCGAAGCTGTCTGAAATTTCCACGGCTCCGCATCCCTCCCTCAGCCCTCAAAGTGATGGTGCCGCCCCTTACAGTGTTTGTAGTGTCTGTCCTCAAATGTCAAGGTGATGGTGCTGCCCCCCCCCCCCACCCCCGAGTAATGCTGGCGCCCCTTGAAGTGTTGGAGGCACTCCTCAATGTCATGTTCCTGCCCCCTAAACCTTCCGTAGTGCCCCTCCGTGTCATGGTGCGCCCCTCAAAGTGTCCATGGCGCCCTTCAATGGGATGCTGCCGCCGCTGAAAGTGATGGCTGCGCTCCTGGCAGTGTTGGTGGCGCCCTTAACCCGCGCCCCGCTGGGCTATTCAGCCATACGCGCCCTGCTGGGGGGGGGGCAGATTTTGCCCCCCTGTCTAACTTCCGAACCGATGGTCGTAGAAAGACGGGGAAAACGGCAATCGAAAGCTCTCAACGAGGAAAATCTTAAAAGCTCATTTTTTTTGCTTAAGTAGGTCAGAGGTCAGGTCACTGGCGGTCGCAGCCGCTAGCAAAAGGGGGGGGGGCCAAAGTCACACTCGCGGGACATAACATTTATCCGTCACCGGGAGGGGGGGGGGGGGTGATCGGCTAATTTTTTACGTCCACGAGGCGCCGCACAGTTGGCATTACTTATGCTTCATCCATCTCATTCTTGCGTGAAATCTTTGAGCTCAATTTAAGGCAAAATCACCAGTTCCATTTACCGTCTCACGGTGTGCCCACCGGTCGGACCGCTGCACCATGACGACGGATCGGTGTAGCATAGGTATACTGGAAGGTCAGGCACGCGGATTCATGAGCTTACCACTATAAAACAATTCGGAAAAGTACAGATAGGTAGGTACCTCTTGCTAAAAAGTACATATACCTCTTCGTTAGGCGGCACGGGCGGACATCGATAGCAGCGCCTCTATCGGTCACTTGGGAAAGCTGGGCTGTAGGCGACGAAATACCGGCTGAGTTGTCACACGTTGAATAGGTTTATAGACATCCGTCTTGTGAACAAGTTGAACTTTTGCCTGCAATATTTCTTTCTACAGGCAATTTTAGAAGTGTCTTCACATAGATTACAACACCGTTAAGATTATTGTATTCACTTCAACCCTTCCCTATTGTGCTTGATGATGCCGGAACTATTTCTAATTAGTTTTTCTAGCTTAAAAAAAGAACATATTGTGCAAACGATGAAAAAAACATAGATGGAAGATTTTAAATGCAATTTTCTCAGCAATTAATGGTAAATTCTCTACAGATCAAGGAAAAGATGCATGCTAACTGATAATTTAAAGTTCTTGGGGCCAGTTGTTTTCTTCTTTTCTTACGTCGCCCCAATGGCCGCGAATACACTTGTGATAACGCCTATCGTGCTTTGAAAAAGCATGTGAAACCCAGAGAGCATTTTTAGACTATGACATTTACCCATATAGGTACCTAGTTGTGTGGCGGCGGGAGAGAGAGTAGGTACACCGACCTCTGGAGACCCCCACAGGTTCCGAGCTTTCAGAATTGGCAGCTGAGGGCCGCTCGCGACTCCTGCGGGGCTTCGCAACGGCTCTGTTGGGGCTCACTCAACCTGCGTAGTCCTACTGCTAAAAAGACTGGCCCTGAGCCCTAAGGACTTCATCAGTCTCTGCGAGCCCCAGGACCCACACCGGCTCATGGGGACTCGATGTCAAAATATGATGGAATCAGCGCGGGACCATCAGGACGTAAAGCAATTTAAGCAATCTCGATCAGGACCAACGTAAGGCTGTGCCGGAGACTGCGTGAGCGCTCTGATCTTCAGAAACCCACCCATGCATGTTTTCATGTAGAGGCCAGTTAGGGCCCTCAGAGACCAGTACAGGGCCTGCAAACTACAAAGGCCAGTAGTTTGAGACCATCAGAGACCGAGTTGGGCTCTCAGAGGCTAATGTGGGTCCTTACTCATTACAGGCCAACATGGGCCCTCAGAGGTCAGCGTGGGGCCCTAAAAGACCGGCATGAGCCGTCGTTGGACCCCAGAGACCAGCAGAGGGCCCTCAAAGGCCAAGATGGGCCCTCCTCAGAGGCCAATGCAGACCCTTAGAGGCCGGCATCGGGTCTTCAGCAGCCAGTGCGGGGCCCTTATTGGCACCTAAAGGTTCATCTTGGGACACCAGAGACAGAAATAAGGCCACCAGAGACCGGTGTGAGACCCTCAGACGCCGGTTGGGACCCCTGAGGCCGGTTAGGGGCCCTCATAGGCCAGATGTGGGGCCTCAGAGGTTGATGTAGGCTCTAAGCGGTCAACGTGGGCGCTTGACCGCCACTGAAGTTCCCTCAAAGGTCAGTGTAGGACGTTCAAAGACCGGTGTGGGAGCTATATTAATAGCTTGGCGTGTTTTTTTTTTTAACCCGCGAGTTGCTGGGGGGGGGGCGTTAAACGCCCCCACTTTTTTCGCCGGGCCATAGCATAAAAACGGCGCGCCGCAGGCGCGCCAAATTTTGCGTACCTGTAGGGAATTGATTGAAGTTTATTGTGACAAAGTTTCAAAAAAAATCGGTCGGAAAATTTTTGAGATATCGAGGTTTTAGTGACGTCATGATTTCTGAGTTTTCGACCAAAAACGGCATATGTTCAAAAAAATCATATAAAATCACAGAATAGACATACAGACATGCCGTAAACGCCATTAGACTGCCAATACCATGATCAATCAAATGGCTATCTTCGATTATTGATTATCGTTCCGCATTTTCCATAATCTTGAACTGAATCTTGGCAATTTTTCGTGACTACTTCACGACCATGATACATGAATTTATTAAATTGAACTTTTTGAGCCAAACACGTACACATATGATAAAATGAATGTCACCATCGTGTTCTACGCCCCTAATTACCTATAAAACATGTGTCACAGGCTGCGAATATCAGTTTTGATTTTCGGGGATATGTGCCTACCCGGTTGACCTGACCTTGACCCTGACCTATGCTTGACTGACCCCTACATGGAGCTGACACTCTTGTAGGCCTTATAAGATGGATTGTGCACCGTTTTGACAGAGTTTATGGCGAGAGGCGCCCATTGCGAAGTCCTGAAGTCCATGCTACTGAAAGCCCGATTTCAGGTGTTTGACCTGACCTTGACCCGACCTGTGACCTCAAAATTCAACTTTAAAGTACTCATCTGAAGCGTCTCGTCGCGCTCTTTCATTTGCCGCATCGTGCGTTTCGCTGCGCCTATTGGTTCTCGAGTTATCGGCTGGGGGTGTTTAACGCCCCCCCCCCCCCAGCAAACGGTGGGTGGCGAAATACCCCAGCAACGGCCGGGTTAAGCCTTGTGACGATCGAATAATTGCCAGGGCCCCATACACCTATATGGGGGCCCATTGGTTGTTTGAGGGGGGGGGGTCAAATGATATGATGGCCCCCTTTATTGACCTTTGGGGGCATGGCCCTGATGCCCCCCCCCCCCTCGGCCCCCCACGACCGCCACTGTGTACACATTACACACATGCCTCTGAGATTACATACTAGCTCATGCAAACTCTATGCAGGCCCCGAAGGTCCCACGCTAATTCTTAATAAACCAAGCCGGCATACGGCTTCTGAGGTGCACAGCACCAACCCTTGAGGTCTTACTTTAGTGTCTTGGAGCCAATCTCCTTTAGCAGGGCCCACCCGCCACTGCCGAAGAGGGTCTCATGCCAGCCATTGCTGAATGCTGGGCCTACGAGAGCCTTAAGTAAACCCACGCTGATATTCCATATAAGATCCGGCCATACTCGTGAACCGGTGCCAGCGACGCTGACCGCCAAATTGACAGAATGCGAAACTGAGCCCACTCATGAGTGAAATTTACGTGCTTTGATGGCGCAAGAAAGAAAATGAAACATACGAAAAGCTTTTCTAGGACTTTTGTTCGATCTGAAAGGTGGGGCCAAAAGATAGTATGGCCCCACCTTTCAGCACCAAAGGGGGGGCCATGGCCCCCGTGGCCCCCCCCCCCCTGCGACCGCCAGTGGGTCAGGTCAAGGTCAGGTCAAGGGTACAAAATGCAAGTTTCTACAGTATCGGCCTTGCACCGTAATTGCCGAAGAATGGACTGAGACTGATTGCCCAAAACGTGTTCTTAGGCTACCAAGACAATATTCGTTGCATACAATATCATTCAAAGGTCAAGGTCAAGGTCAGGTCAGGTCAGGTCAGGTATGGTCAACAAAAATAAAATATAGAAAAGGCCATGTGCGACACATGTTTTATGGGTCATTTTATTCATATAATTCAATAGGCACACTCTGGATGAATTTCAGGTCGAGGTCAGGTCAAGGTCAGGTCAAGTGAGGTCAAATATTGAAGTTGGTTGTTAAGGCCTAGAAAGGTGTCTATCTGAAGCAGTTTTTCACGGCGAGTCGAATGATGCTATTTTTGTTTCCGCACGAGGTCTAGAACTTCCAAAAAAAATCATTTTCAAAAATTTTGTGTGTCGTGACGTCATAGAATTTTGAATAACTCCCACATTTTTGAACCGATTCTTCTCAAAAGTGGTATGTAGGTGCACATAGACCACTTCTCTGACATATATTCCGGTTTTTTTCGATACACTCAAAATTTTGGATTTTATAATTATTTTCCCAAAAAAGTCGTTTTTTTGAAAAAATTTGGGCCAAAATCCAAAATTTTCAAAAAAATCGAGATAGCCATTTGATAGACTAAGTAGAATCACGTATAATCTTTTTATTACGTCTTGATTTCTTAAAAAATGAAGATGTTAGCGGCGTTTGAAATTTTACGATTTTTGAGGCGAAAATGGCGAACATGACGTCACTAAAACGTCATTTTCTCAAAA